TTTAGTCTTGAATGAACTAATATTCTTTATCGTAACTTTTATCAACTTAGAATTTCCCTTTTCACCAAAAGGAAAATTCTTGTACATTAAAGAGAATTGCCACTTTTCCAATTTTGTGAAAGGGTTCATCTTCAAGGATCTATACAAGATCTTTTTGAAGACTAATTTCAGTGTTCATTATTAGTACATAGTGCAACCAGGAACGTATTCAAAAGTGGCAAATGAATCTTTTCTTTTTGTGTCTCTTTTCCTTCTATCCTACTGCTTCTTGAAACTTTGCATCTTACTTGCAGTGTTGGCGCATACCCTTTGCAATTTTGTTGCTTCAGTGAAGGATCACTTTGCGTGTTTATCCTTACGATTTTGCGGCTCTGATGAGGAACTACTTAGATAGATAACAAGAAATATTGCCCCAGAGATTGCGGTCATTATCCGTGATCTACTCTTTTTTTCCATCTCCAAGAAGGTGAAGTATTCAGATCTAGCATCGAGTGATATCAATATGATGATCGACAGATGCGGTTGCAGTGACATCCTTGCTTGGAACATGATTGCCCTTTGTGAAGACCATCATAATAGTTGATTTTGAAACTTGTAATTTTCAATTTGCAGGAGGAAGAGATGAAGGGCAGAACTGGTCCCACTGGGCGTGCCAATTTGTTTGCAATAAATTTTCAACATACAAAAAATAAACTGCAATCACAAAAAAATAGTGATTTTATTGATAAACCTTGCGGGTTACATTTCTGTTTATCCCTTGATTCTTCCTCCGGATTATTCTCCGTGATTCGAAGGCTGGATCAGTGTATTCTTGAACATAAGATGATATGGACCTCTCTGAATTGTTTGTTGTATCATTGTATGGATATTCCTCTTGAAATATTTTGATTATCAAGAAGAACATCTATTGATCACGATACTATTTTATGCCTTGATCTCTTTGTGAATATCCCGAGAATTTATGAGTTTCCTGAGATGACTTCAATTTGCGAGAGATTTTTTTTAGGGATTATGTAACCCTTTTTATAGGAGTGACCAAGGGCTAGATAGATTAGCCTCCAAGTTAGGGTTTTTGAGAGTAGCCTCCAAGCAACCCTAATAGATTCCTAGAATTGCAAGAGTCCTCTTATAGCATCTTGAATTTAGGATTTTGCTTGATTCATTAAAATTTCGATGTCTACACAAGTATTTATCAGACAAGCTACCTACAATTAACTATGGCATTAAATAACAAAACTGCTTAGCAGCTTTCTCATGAAATTACAAATAAAGAGCTAACAAGAGCAACCAATAGGATATTTAGACCTACGAGGGTTTACAAACCCACTTGTTTGCCACAGCTTGGGGTGCTGTCGGAGATATCTCCAACGACAGCTTTCTCTTTTATGCACGTATTTCAATAAGTTTTTCTCCGGTTTAGGATCCGGTCCGACTTGATCATGTGGTCCGCTACTGGATCTGGGCTAGTTCCGGGGCGGTCCAAAAGAAATGCGAGCTAATCCAGATCCCTTAATTTTGAGTTAAGTCCAGGCCCTTGATATAGGACCAAAATGGACCATAAGCTGATTTTGAAAAACTTCTCGATCCCCTATGCTCCAATTTTCAAATAAATAGTATTCCTTACGTTTTAATGTATACAAGGTAATTTGGCTCGTCACGAAACTTCCCGATCCTCTATGTTCCAATTTTCAAATAAATAGTATTCCTTCTGTTTAAATGTATACGAGATAATTTGGTTCGGCACGAAGTTTTAGAAAAATAAAAATAAAAATAAAAATTGTGGCTCTAAAAGTTTAAGGGGTAAAAGTTTTGTGGGGGCATGACATTTGTGTGACTGTAAAAGTTTTTCGCTAAAGGTAAAGTAGGTAAATAAAAATTTTAAAATTAAATTATTTTCAAATATAAAAATATATTATTTTTTTTAGAACGGACTAATAAGGAAACTGTGCTTAATAAATTAATATGGAGGAGTATGTAACTATGTATTTCACCGGTCCAAACTGAATTGATTGATCCATTAAAGTAGACTAATATTTTATTTGGCCAAGCTTCTAAAATCAATTTATTTTGAAAAGTGTATCTTTTAAAAAGTACTGTTTAGGAGAACAATTTATATTTAGCTAATTAATTTGAAAAGTATTTTTGACCAGTAATTAGTATTTAACCAAACTCTTAAAAAGTGCTTTTAAGTGTATCTTTCTCAAAAATTCTTTTCGAAAAAGTATTTTGAGGAGAAGCTATTTTTTTCTACTTCTAAAATACTGTTTCTACTCAAAAGCATTTTTTTTTCCTTCTAAAAGCTTGGCCAAACACCTTACACTACAACAAATGTGATATTTAGCTACAAAACTTTTAGCCACGACACAAAATTCATCACTAATTATTCACTTTTCGTGACGAAAATTATGTTTCGTGTTTAGATACATAATCCGTATACTTTTAGTGACGAAACATAAAATTTCGTAGCAAAAGTTTTGTCCACTAAAATTTCCCACCAAAAAATAACTTGGCGCCATTATTTAATAGCATTAGCCACGAATTTTATACAATTGGTGACATATTATTTTGTCACTAATGATGTATCCAATTTGTGACAAATCATAATTTGTCTTAAAATTGGTAAAACTTTGGACACGAAAAAATTTCGTCACAAAAAATGTGTTATTACAATAGTGACAAAATAAAATTTGTAGTTAAACATGGTAAACTTTAGCTACAAAAGTTTCTAATTTATTATGACATTAGTTTTTGTCACTAATAGTGCAAACAATTAGTGACAATTATTTAATTGTCTCTGTTTAACCTATAATTTAGTCACAACAAAATTTTTGTCACGAAAAATATGATATTTAAATGGCTACGACTTGAATTTTGTAGTTGAATAGTACAATAAGGCGACAAAAAAGATTCATAGTAAAAAACTAAAAGATATAATTATGTTCATATATGATACAAAAAGTTACTTTAGGACTAATTAACCTTATGACTAAAGCATCCATCTTGAAAAATCATCAAGTTGGAGAAACTTGAATCTCTTTTATAAAGTTCTATTATACAGGCTCCTCAAAAAGGGTAGTTTTAGTTGGACCTCTGTAGCTTCTACAGCTTTCGAAGAGCTGAAAATAGCCATCACTTCAGCACCTATTCTTGCCTTTTTAGGCTTCTCCAATTTTCATAGGAGATTGATACTTCAGGAGAGGGTATTGGAGCTGTCTAAGCTTATGATAGTGGACCTATTGCTTTCTTTAGCAAAGGGATATCTAATAAGAACAAAATTATTTCTTTGTATAAAAGGGCCTTGGTCACTGTAGTTCAAAAATAAAGGCCGTACCTACTTGCGAGACACTTTATCATTAAGACTGATTACTATATATTCTGCATTACTACAGCTAACCATTTATATATATTACACAACTCTTGTAAGATAATTAAACTATATTTTTGACATATCATGTGATAAAATAAATGAAATGCTTAAAAACATCACGATACTCTAAATAAAAAATTAAGTTGTCAAAACCATCAAGTGTCTCAACAAGCCTACACATACTTTATCGTATACATGGCTAATAAAAGGCATCTCTTTTCTGGTCACCTCTCTTGGCAGAGAAGCCTCTTCCATCTCTTTTCTGCAAATGTCACTTTCTTTTTCTTTTTCCCTGGCCTGACAATAAATTATCATGGGACAGACCATATTATTCACCAAAAAGAATCTCAGAGAAATAAATATCCTTACATACAACACCACAAATAAGTGATTTAACATAAATGTAGTAATATACTTATCAAAATTTTGCGAAGATTCTTTCTAGTGATGATTGAATAAGGGGTATATCTAAAAACAAAATGAGTACGAATTATAACTTAGTAAAATATAAGTTTGATAAACATTGATTTATCTACTACCAATAAAAGCATTCTTGCTAGGTATAAGATCAAACATAAAATACAGGAAGAGGAGAAAAAAAAATGTGTGGTCTTTATATGTGGTGGGAAGGGGTACATAGACATGTCAACCGTTAATGCTGATACTTCTTCAAAGATTAGTGAGGTTGGAATTGCATCTTGACTTGTTTTACACTAGAGCTGAAGCAATGTACTATCAGAATCAAGTTTATGATGAATACTGCACATATTAGAACAACAAAGAATTAGTAAGTTGAAGTGAAATACTAATAGTGAATGATTACAGGCCATTACATCAAAGGGTGGTTGTTTTGTTGAAGCTCCAGTTTCAGGGAGCAAAAAGCCAGCTGAAGATGGCCAACTAGTAATATATATACTATTATTTAGCTGTTTAATGGAACAACACAGCTTATTATCTTTGGTTTGCTGCACAACATGGAGCTTGTGAAAAGCAACAAGCCTTGGATTCTTATTAGACTTGGAGGCCTTGAATATGTGTTCCTTGAAGTAATTGAGTTCTGCTATGCTCTCCTTAATGTCATCCATAGCTCTATGCTTGCTTTCCTTTTTAGGAGCCTTTTTGCTCTTGGAAACCGACGAACACACAATGTCTTGACACTGCTGACATCAACTAGTACATGTGAAAAAAGACTAGCAAGATTCGGCATGTATTTCTTCAAAAATTGAAAATCCACGTAGACTGAATTTCCCGCTAGTAATGGTGTATATGTGCCAATGTTTCTCTTGACAAATTCAATAGCCTGTTTCTCAGCTTCTTCTTCAGTGACCATACTCTTAAGCAATTTGTCAAGACATCTATAAATGGCCTATTTATTTAAAACCTCTCATTCGCCCTATCACCAACATAATATATTAAAAAAAGATGCATACCCAGCATTTTGTGTAATTCCTTGCACACGCTGCTTATAAAAGTGCACCTTGCCAGTATTTTTTGGCTTCCCTAAGCATCTAAACTTGGTTTGACAACTAAGACAGAGAAAAGAGAGCACAGCTCTATAAAATCAATAATTCATTGATGACCATAAACACCATCTGTAAAGCAGATGTGCAGCAGAACAAATTCTTAAAATGGACTGACCTTGGCGTTCTCCAAGTATCTTATAGCTTCTTCCTGAGAAGAAGAATTCATAAACAATTGTATGCAACAAAGCCCAGCTGCCACATGATCCTTCTTTGTCACCTCATCATCATGCAATCTAAAAATACACAGGATGGAGACATGGCATTAGTATATACAGAAAATGGAAGCAAATCGACTAGGGCAGCCTATCAGAGAATATGATCAAATTCTGGAGTGAAGCCTGTGGAAAAACAGAAAGATTGAGCTTCTTGAGGTTTACCAAAGCACCTAAACTAAGAAACCAGGTAATAAAGTTAACATTAAAGAGAAAACAAAAGGAGAATCTGCTTTAGAAATTTAATAAAGTTAAATAAACAGAAGACTAGAGAGATGACGGATATTACCTCAAGACATCTATAAATGGCGTAATTATTTAAAACCTCTCATTCGCCCTATCGCCAACATAATATATTAAAAAAAGATGCATACCCAGCAGGTTACTGACCTTATTATTATGAGGTTATGAAATCCTATTTCTCACTTCTCTCTGTTCCATTCCCTCTTCTTCTCTCTATTCTCTAATCCCCCTTTCCCCTTCTAATGCTTTTCTTAGTGAAGGCAGTCCCCTCATTCCAGTGATATTTGCTTGTACACTGATTTCTTAAAATTTAGTGCAACATATGACTTCCTAATTTATCGTTTTCCTCTGAATCCGAGCCAAGTTAAGTAAATAGGTACCCATCTATCCACATACAAAAAATCAAACTTCAATTCATTCTTATGACAAATCAATTCATAAATCAAAACTCAGTATTCGGATGTTAAGAATTAAATAGAGAGGAGACGGCAGCGACAGAAATAAAAGAGGAGAATTTACCAGAGTGGTCTGATAGCGACGAAGGGGAGAACCAAGAGCAACGAGATGCAGCGCCAGGCGAGGGCTGCAAGCGACAATTCTTTTTTCTGAAAAGGACGGACGAGGCGAGATGTTTGAGGGCTTGCGGTGACGATTCCTTGTTTGATAAAAAGAGTGACCAAAAGATTTTTTTATAAAAATAGAAGAAAAATTGTAATCCAAAACCCAAACAGATTGGAACTCCAATTAAAGATTATGGTATCAAAGTTTGAAAAAGAAAAATTAATCAATTATGCTCAACTTGCTCATATGCGGAAAAGTGAATATATATATATATATCCTAATTACAATAATATTTGTTTATTCATTCATGCTATACTTACACAAAACTTGATTGTTCAATTTAGGGTGGGCATAAAATCCGAAAAACCGAATTCCGAATCGAACCGAATTAATTTGGTATTTCGGTTTCGGTTTTTTCGGTATTTCGATTTATTTCGGTATAAAAATTTCGGTATTTCGGTAATTCGGTACGGTATACGGTATTGAATTTTTGATATTTCGATATTTCGGTATACCGAAATACCGAAATAGTTTATAAATTGAGACAGTAATTGATGCTTGCAATTATGTTTATTTGAAAATATTTGATCTTTTCTTTGTACTCATTTTGTTTGGTCTTCCTTAATAGCACTAGTACACAATATTACTCATCTTTTAACAAGTACCAAAATTTAAATAATGTAGTGATTGAGTAATAATAATAGCAATAAAACTAATATATTAATTGTGAAATACATTTTTCTATTCTTCTTCATGATATTTGACGGAGCAAAGGTTCTAACATTTACCAAAAGCACTACAACACAAATAAACGTTCTACTTATTGAACACTCCACCAACTACACCAGACAAAACCTATACCTTTGTTGTGCTCCATGAAGTAGAAAATGGTTTAAACCGAAACCATACCGAACCAAAATAAGAAATACCGAACCGTACCGAAATACTTTGGTATGGTATTTGGTATACACAGTTAATAAACCGAATACCGAACCGAAATTCTTAAATACCGAACCGAAATACTGAATGCCCACCCCTAGTTCAATTTGATTCAATTTTTACCTAAAAAGCAACTAAATCAACTACGCTGTTATGAAATAAAAGCAATTTAGTAAAACATGAACAAGAAATAGAGATAGAGAGGAAGAGATTTTCTTCTTCAATTGTGTGTATTTTTCTATCTATTACAAGGCCTTTATATAAACATGAATTGTGAAGAAAATATGTCATGGAATATGTCATTTAACATAGAAAATATGTCATTAAGCATTTGACATGAAGATCATGGAGGAAGAGTAGACATTCACCATAATATGATATTTATCATAACACTCACCCTTGGATGTCCATAAATAATGTGCCTCGTTAAAACCTTATTAGGAAAAAAAAACCTATGGGAAAAAAAATCCTAATGAAGGAAAAAGAGTACACATATACGCCTTTTGGTTGCCTCGTTAAAAACCTTGCAAGAAAAACCCGGTGGGACAAAACCTTGTAAGGAAAAAAGAGTACACCGCGTATTAACTCCCCCTGATGAGAGCATCAGTTCACATCCTTCAGCCTTCGCATCCCAATTTTGTACACCAGTTTCTTGAAGGTTGACGTTAGTAGAGATTTGGTGAACAAATCAACCATATTATCACTTGAACGAATCTGTTGCACATTGATATCACCATTCTTTTGAAGATCATGTGTGAAAAATAACTTTGGTAAAATGTGCTTTGTCTTATCTCCTTTTATGAATCATCTCTTCAATTGGGCTATGCATGCTGCATTGTCTTCATACAAAATTATGGGTAGTTTGTCACACTTCAAACTACATTTGTCTTGGATAAGATATATTATAGACCTCAACCAGATACATTCTCGATTTGCTTCATGAATAGAAATTATCTCAGCATGATTAGAAAAAGTAGCCACGATTGATTGCTTAGTCGATCGCCAAGATATGATAGTGCCTCCACATGTAAACACATAACATGTTTGAGATCAAGTCTTGTGTGTGTCAGATAAATACTTTACATCGGCACAACCAACAAGATCGGGATTGCAATCATTGCCATAAAATAAGCCCATATTGGTAGTTCCTTTTAGATAACACAATATGTGTTTGATTTCACTTCAATGTCTCCTTGTAGGAGCAGAGCTATATCTTGTTAAGACATTAACTGAAAATGTTATGTCACGCCTTTTAGTGTTAGCAAGATACATTAGTGCATCAATTGCACTAAGATATGGTACTTCAGGACCAACAAGTTCTTCATTATTTTCATGAGGTCGGAATGAATCTTTATTTATATCGAGTGATCTCACAACTATCGGGGTACTAAATGGATGTGCTTTATCCATATAAAATCGCTTTAAAATCTTTTCAGTGTATGCTGATTGATTGATAAAAATTTCATCTTTCATATACTCAATTTGTAGACCAAGACAAAATTTTGTCTTTCCAAGATCGTTCATTTCAAATTCTTTCTTTAAATAGTTTACTGTTTTAGGAAGCTACCTGGGAGTTGTAATGATATTTGAATCAACATACACAAAGATTATAACAAATTCAAATCCAGATCTTTTTACAAAGATACAAGGACAAATTGAATCATTCTTGTACCCTTCTTTCAATAGGTACTCACACAGGCAATTATACCATATGTGCCTTGATTGTTTCAATCCGTATAAGGATTTTTGAAGCTTTATTTAATAGATTTCTTGGAAACATTAATTTGCTTCAGAACAATTTTAATCCTTCAATGATTTCCATTATACGCATATCAAGTTTTCATGTATTGCCAGATTAAAACTTGAAATAATTATATCCACCATAAGAGAACATGTCTCCATATAATCAATGTGAGGATATTTACTAA